TGGGTAAGTTGAAAATAGGTTCGTGTGGGAGGATAGAAGTGTCGACTTGATCACCGTCGCTTCCTTGAACCGTTGGGGCAGAGTCAACCCTGCGTTGCGCAGTTTTCAACGGCCACGTTGCGCAGTTTCGCCCGATTAGACACGTTCTCTCGCGCGAACATTCACACTCGCATGCTCGAGCCGTCTGCGTCTCCGCCCATACAGCGTGCGTTGAGGATCTCTCAACGTGCCGTTGCGAACTGCGCAACGCAGGGTTGACTCTGGTGGGAGAACTGCGCAGAACGAAGGTGAGTAATATGGATTAATTTTCAGCAACACAAAAGCACCTGCTGCTCCTAGCATATTCACTGGATTTCATCTCGTTCATCCGGAAGAACCAGCACCAAAGGTTAGAAAAACACTTATTTTTAAGAATCAAATTAGAAGCCACATTCTCCATTTTAAGGTTTCTTTGGCTCATTCGCCTCTCATAACCAGGAATCTTGCCGGCGGAGCTCAACAAGTCTCTCTGGCCATTCGTAACGAGTGCACACCGTTGCACTTACTACTCACTCATCTGAACCCTTTGACTACTGGTGGTACACATGTGTACGACTTCCGTCGTCAAAGGCATTACCACTGTTTTGGGACTTATTGTGAATGGGGTGTCTCGCTGTCTTGATGGCGGAATTGTGCACTTATAGAAATGCTGTAATTTGACTCTGAAACAAATCGTCACAAGCCAAAGCGAGTACTTTGGATAAACTATTAAGGATATTGTACCGCACGTCATTGGTCAGTATGCAGCTCCCAAAAGATAATTTTTAAGGCTCACACACTCTTAAAATTGCGCTAGTGATTTTGGTGTTTCCCTACATTTGTATCAGGTGCAACATACGCCAACGAACGATGAAAGATGGGCATTTTATCGGCCGGAACCAGTTAGAGGACTTTGCGGCATCCATTTTCTAAATTCATTTCCGCACCATCCGAACTGCCGAGTTGGAGATTCCAACTCGGCAGTTCGGATGGTGCGGAAATGAATTTAGAAGATTACTATGAGGACATAGATTTCAGCAGAAGACGACGAAAACTTGTCATAGCAGAAACACCCCGTCAGACCCGCAGCGCTTCTACAGACTTGCAGCTACTGCTCACAGCTCTAACCCAAAGTCTGGTCGCTACCAGGCATTGGCTGTATTCCGCGAATAAGATATGGAAATTGTGTACTCGTAAGAATTTGTCAATTAAAGTGCCAATCTACATCTCAAAAACGTTCGTTCGAGGGGTATAAATGATCAGTTGTTGTAAGAGTTGGAGCGATGATTACTACATGAAACACATCGATACCCCATTTTAAAAGGAGTCGTAGTCCAAATTTTGAGATGCTATGCCGAAAAGTGCTTCCCTTATCTGCTGTCTATTGGAGTGGTTCTCCAAAAGGATATGTAAAATCGGAAATACCCAGTCGCTGTGTCCTCTCACAGGCAGGGCTAGGTCGAATGACATTTTCTTGTGTGCTCTCACTTCTTTCGGCAAAACTGCATGAGTGCTCGCATGTGTGAAGAGTTTGCGAGCGGCTAAGGACACTTTCCAAGCATGCAAAACAGGGGTGCGTGACGATTCAATCGTGGCAGTGGCTAGGTCGCCGCGCCAGCCGCCGCAGCCCGCGATGTCGCGGCGGCGTTGCTAGAATTCAGCATCCAAACATTGGGGATTGTAAGATTAGATGAACTTTCCACTCATGAAACATTGAGCACGAACCACCCATCCCGTTAAAATGCAGGCTTCTTTTTCCTCGCCATTATTACATACTTATCATATCATGCTTATGTTAGAGCCTTCCTCACCGTTACTCTGTGTCTTGATACGTAATATTCTTTCCGACTTGGACCAGATTACCACTCCCTGATAGGAATTCAGATAGCTAATTAATAAAGTATCGAATTGAGCTCACAAGGACAACCTTTACATGGCACATGTCTTGTACTGTGAGGCTTGAATCACTACAGGAAATCTTAAAAAGAAACTTGTTGGCTCACTGATGTTTGAACTTTTGGTCTTATCAGTTCTCTAAACCCATCCGCAACTTATGGTCATGGACCGTTAAGCCAAGGCCCATACAGGAAATCGCCGCACCAAGTGCCGCGCGCGACGCTACCCGCCGCGTGAGCGGCGTGACCTCATTGGGACGATTGAATTGACCGTCACCCTGCAAAACAGTACAATGAAAACCTCCATGGCACCACTCAAGCTTCCGTTCAGCACGTGTGAAATAGGATCACGTTTCAAGATGCAACGACGAGCACGGCATTGCAAATGGCCGGACCTATTCCTTGATCTTCCCTTGTAGGGAATGTGTCAGTGGTAGAAACTAAGGAAAAGTCGAATGGGCTGGTCTCACAAGCTCTCCAGTAGAATGCGTTATTCAATTTCCCGATATTTCAGACGGATTTAAAGTCGCTCGCCACCGAAGAGAACATACTAGCAGATCCAATTATTCAACAAAAACTTCTTCACTCAAATGAAAAGCTAGCACAGGTAAGAGGTAATCTAAAGAGGTTGTCAGAAATTGTCTTTTACGCTGTCATGTATCAGCAACTTTCTTACAATCTCTCTACAATATTGGTCACATATCAGGTGGTCCGATAAGTGATGTCCTTCAAATGAGTTCTTTTTTTTCTGAAAATCCATGATTTTGTATCATCTCGTTTACTGTTTGAAGGAGAATAATGTATTCCTACTAGCATTTTCCCATGACATACTTTGTAAAGTTGATAAGTTACCAAAAAAGAATCCAAAATTCCACCTAATGGATGAAGGACGCAAATTGATTTGAGCACCACGAGTTTGCACAAGACCTTCAAACACTCCGCTACTGGGTCGTCGAAAAAAGCCTTGTCGTTCTTTTCAAATTCGGTTTTTTGCCAGAATTTTCTGGTTGCGCCATTGAATCTAGATCCAAGTTTGTTACCAAAAAAGTGGTGAATCATTGAGAACAAGTCGTGGCAAACAGGATTCACGCCCGGGGCTTTGTCATATTTTTGGAGGATTTTTTTAAGAAATGTGGTCGTTGTCGTTTTCAGAGCGTCTCATAAAGCAAGCATAATCTGGTCATAAATAAATCAGGAATGACGTCATGCCCAGAAAATTGCAATGGTTCGAGGCGCGGCGCGTCGTGAATGTGTTGACTGTGAGGTCATTTAAACTTGGAAGCAACTGGCAATAGCGTCCGATTTCCCGGCTTTTTAATCGTTTCCCTTGTATTCAAACGTATCATTTTCATCTTCACGTTAATTACTTCATCGTCATGAAACATCGCGAGTCTTTTTAACATTGCAAGGCAATTTGTTTCCGCATGATGCTAATGTTCTGGAAGGTTTGGAACGCTTGTAAAATTTGTGTGACCCACACAACTGATCGCAACGCCATTTCCCGTGATGGATGGTTCGCACAATTTTATCTTTTAGGACTGCTCATTTTGCATGTTCATGGTCGGGCGAACAACCGTGAAGGATAAAGCATTTGCCGTTGATCAGTCCCTTTGGGAATCGACACGCATTCTACTTCCATTTGACATTCGTAGTGGCGTTTGAATGCGATTTGACCTATACAATGACTGGCGGGGGCCAGCCGATGTTCAAGTCAGTGTTTTTTATCTCCCAACAAACGTCTGGTCAAATCAACGACTCGGAGAATGAAAGCTCTTTGCTCGGCCCCGGGCGAAGTCACAACGAGAGATTCGTCTTGTTCCCAATTGGACTAACTCGCGTATAAAGTCGTGGCCCCCTGCTACTACAGCACCCTGCTCAGTGTATCTGACATGTTCATACGAAGAGAGGTCGTTATTTTGGAGCAGAGATGCTTTAAGTACAAACGGTACTCTCCAAACATTTTGCAGTATAGTACACAAAATATAATATGTACCACAACAGCAGAGTACAACATTAGTTTCAGGAAGGACAAGTAAGACATTTCAAAACAGCTGCAGCTATAACCAAGGGAGTCAGTCCGACAGTCGGCAGCAGAGAAATTGATATTGATGAAGGTCTTCCCGCAGGAAAGATCCAGGAAGGAGCAAAGGTAAAGAATGTGGTCCCTGTTTTTGATAAGAGCGACAACGATCAGTTTAAGCCGCGAAATGCTCGATCAGCCGAAAGAACTCAAGCGTCATTTGCTCTCCCAGCTAAAGCGGCAAAGCGGAGGAAAGCGTCGCATAATGAGCTCCCTGATCGGAAAATCAACGATATGGGAGCAAAGGACATGTGGCTGCCTATGGCTAAAACACAAGTGGTTTGTTGCCATTGTACCTTCTTTATTTCTCTTTTTTTCGAATCTAAGATTTCATCACGGTCCAACGAGCGACCCGGTTCTGTCTCTTTATGGTCGGCCGAGTCTGCTGCAAATGATATCCCGAACAAATGGGAAGTTAGGTAGGCCTGGGTGGATTTTGATAGTGTTTTGATCGCGTGTCATGGGTGTAGCACATCTACCAGGACCTCATCTTCCCCAATCCTTTGAGGCAGCAGTTGGGTGTTCTGTTGTCTATCCTACTGTATATAATTCGCTAAGCATGTCTGTGTGTGGTGTATGTGTGTGTGGTGTATGTGTATGTGGTATGTGTGTGTACGTGTGTCTGTCACGAAATTCATAGCGCGCTTCGCTGCAGTCATGGAAGCTGTATTTTGAGTATGATATAGGGGTGGGACGGGAACATATTTGGTGGGGGTCAGAAAGTGATAACGACTGATAAGGACTGATAAAAAGGCGTTAGGATGCAAAAATCACGAAATGCATGGCACGCGACCGGGTGGGACGGGAACATGTTTGATGGGGATCAGAAAGTGATAACAGATGATAGGGAATGATAAGGAGCGTTAGAACGCGGAAGTCGCGAAATGCATGACCCAGTAGCAGTGAGGCGTTCTCTTCCGAGTATGATGTAGGGGTGGGACGGGAACATATTTGATGGGGACCAGAAAGTGATAACAAATGACAGGGAGCGGAGCGTTAGAATGCGGAAATCACGAAATGCATGGCGCGCGGCCCAGTAGCAGTGAGGCGTTCTCTTCCGAGAATGATGTAGCAGATATGATAAAGGGGGTGGGGCGGGATCATGGTGGAGACCAGAAAGTGGTAACAGCTGGTAGGGGTTGAAACGAGCGTAAATTTCACTGAAGCCATTATCCAGATGTGCAATGAGAAAATGTCTCATTTCTTCGCGATGTCCTTGTCATCCATTTGACCACTTATCTGCCCGTGTTTGTTAAAGGCAAAGGTCGGGATCAGTTGACCAAACCAACTCTTTCGGTCATGCCTGTACTTGGTTAC